CAGCCAAAGAAATTGAAAGAACTTTAAAGGTTTCTGGTTTGGCTTTCAAATTCTGGTAATTTATGTAGGATGAAAATAAGGCAATACAATATAGAATGCAAAATCCTGACAAACAATCAAGGAATTACCCAATCTCCAACAACAAATAAGCTCACGAGAACAGCACTGTTGAGTTCCTTCTTCATTCTCAAAGCATAGCCATCAAGACACGCAAGTCCCAAGCTCCAGAGTGCTTGTAGTCCCATTGATGCAATCAAGTAGCTGAAATTTGAGAGTTATAATCAAACCGTTTACCAATTCACAATCTGAGAGTTAAAACAAACACATTTGTTACACAAATTAGAGCATGTTGAGCATGCTGTAATAAAAATAATGTTTACCAATTCACAATCTGAGAGTTAAAATGAACACATTTGTGGAACAAATTAGAGCATGTTGTAAGTTTTATGAAGGCTGTACTCCCAAATGCAAAAGGCTGATGAATTTATCACTACATGGCCATAGGAGGTTGCATTTACAAATGTTCTATAAGTACACGCATACACAAATGAATGCCCCATGGCAGGTGTCATTGAAAAAAAATGTATGCATATACACCAATATTCAACCTTAGTACAGATGAATGCTCGTCATTAAAAGGCTGTTAGCTATGACACACAGAACAAGATACTAGTTCTGATGTACTACCCGTGTGGCTTGTCATACAATTTTACTTAACAGACTGGCAGGTTTGTATTTTTTGGGTTAAAAGAGTGGCACAAGAAGGGTCAAGTGATTGAATGTTAGAAACCCGGTACAGACTCACACTTGGGAGGCCAACCTCCAGGATCGGTTCCCACGGCGTACAGGTGCACGCACTTGCCCACACTCCCACGCGCGCCGTGATCGGCACTCATCTGCATTTCCGTTGTAACGTGTAATCCTCATGTACCTCTCAAGTGTATATAAGCACACCCGTGTTGGTCAATGCAATAAATAGAGAATTCCCCCCATCTAACTTGGTACCAGTCGCATGTTCAAATATGGATGGAAACGGAGCAGAAACAGAAGGAACTGAGTGCTGCCACATTTGTTTTCATAACTAATATAAAAACCTGGGAAATGAATAGGGAAATAAATACTACTGGGAACAGATACGAAGCAAATACGGTGCGCAGCAAAACAATTGGGAAAGTCACAAGCAAACTATTTCAATTGATATGACCACAAAACCTTTTGATGACTCCTAAGCCAGTGTATAACTCATAAACCAGCCGCGCCAAATAAAGGCTCCTGGACAATACAGTGATGATGGTTGGGGATTCTGTTAGGTATTGGTGTTGTCATTACTGGCCACAACGTGAGTTTTATTGAGTGCTGGACTGAGCCACATTGTAGCCATGGTAAAAACTGAAAGTTTTGTATTCACGGATCTGTTTCCATGGCTGTTCCACCGGAAAACACTGTTCCATTTCCGTTTTGCAATATTCCGTTTTTGTTTCAGTATTTTCACTCTGTTTCCGTTTTTCCATGGAGAATCCGGGAAGTTTCCACTCCATTTTCATCCTAGTTCAAACCCTTCCCACAGACCGCTATGAGTGCCCCATGCACCCATTGCCGCAGCTGCTCGCTCGGGGATGCCAACGCCATCTTCACCCCAACCCGCGTCACGATGGTAAAACAGAAAGTTTCCTATTCACAGATCCGTTTCCGTGTCTGTTCCACCGGAAAACACTGTTCCATTTCCATTTTCGTCAGTTTCGCAGTATTCCTTTTTGTTTTCGTATTTTCACTCAGTTTCCGTTTTTTCGGGGAAAATCCAGACAATTTCCACTCCATTTTCATCCTAGTTCAAATCCTTCTCACTTCCGCGGCCGCTCACTCGGGGACACCACACGTCGTCTTCACCACGCCCCGCATCGCCATGGTAAAAACAGAAAGTTTCATATTCAAGGATCCGTTTCCGTCGATGTTCCACCGGAAAACGCTGTTCCATTTCAATTTCCCTTTCACAAATTTTGTCTTGGTTTCCGTATTTTCACTTTGTTTCCTTTTTTCCGTGGAAAATCCCGAAAGTTTCCACTCCATTTTCATCCTAGTTCAAATCCTTCTCACCTTCCGCAATGAGCGCCCCACACACCCATTGGGGCGGCCGCTCACTCAGGGACAGCAATGCCGTCTTCACCCTGCCCCGCGTCGCCGTGGTAAAAATAGGAAGTTTCACATTCACGGATCCGTTTCCGTGGGTGTTCCACCAGAAAACGCTATTCCATTTCCGATTTCGTTTCACAGCATTCCGTTTTTGTTTCCGTATTTTCGCTCTGTTTCCGTTTTTTCTTGGAAAATTCGGAAGTTTCCACTTTGTTTTCATCCTCGTTCAAATCCTTCTCACCTTCCGCCATGAGCGCCCCACGCACCCATTGTCGCAGCCGCTCGCTCGGGAACGCCAACGCCATGGTAAATACAAAAAAAAATGATATTCATGGATCAATTCCATGGATATTCCACAGGAAAACGTGTTCCATTTCAATTTCTGTTTCACAATATTCTGTTTTGGTTTCTGTATTTTCACTCTATTTCTGATTTTCCGTGGAAAATTCGGAAAGTTACCACTCCGTTTTCATCCTAGTTCAAATCCTCCCCATCTTCCGCCATGAGCGCCCCATGCACCCATTGTCGCAGCCGCTCGCTCGGGGATGCCAACGATGTCTTCACCCCGCCCCACGTCGCCATGGTCAAAACATTAAGTTTCATATTCACAGATCCGTTTCCATGGATGTTCCGCCGGAAAACGTTTTTCCATTTCAATTTCCGTTTTGGTTTCCGTATTTTCACTTTGTTTCCGTTTTTCTGTGGAAAATCCAGAAAGTTGCCACTCCGTTTTCATCCTCGTTCAAATCCTTCTCACCTTCCACCATGAGCGCCCCACACACCCATTGTTGCAGCCGCTCGTTCAGGGACGCCAACACCATTTTCACCCCGCCCTGTGTAGCCCCTGCGCCTGTCCCCTCGGCAGTGCAGCCCACTCCAGCCACCGGCATCCCTGGTCCTGCTGGCGACAGCTGACCACTTACCCAAACTAGCATCATTCGTGAATTGCACCTTACTTCCAATGCCCATTCGAAGGTGACATGACCATCGCCGCCTACTGTTGACGCCTCAAGCAGTTGGCAGCCGCCCTGGACAATGTGGAGGAGCCCGTCTCTGACCGCGCTCTCACCCTGCAGATGATCCGTGGACTGAGCCGACGCTTCTAGGTGATGGACACTGTACTTCCTATGCAGAGGTGCCATTCCCAAGCTTTGTTCAGGCCCGACCCACCTTCTCCTTGAGTTGATCGCGCTCACTGATCGAGAGCACGCCAAGGGGGTATTGTTGCATGTACAGAGTAGGTGCAACGGGAGCCTAGGAAGGCAAGGCCATGTAGGAGAGGGAGATGGTAGCAGTGGTGCTACGCAGCTCGCCGACGGGGATGCCCGTTGGACACCTGTTGGCGCTGACTACTAGAAGAGGCACTAGGGTGGAGACAAAAGCAGCAGCGACAGGCTTGACGCGAGGTGGAGTGAAAAGACGACGTCATCTTCGCCAAGGGAGCAGGAGTGGCGGTGACCACACCAGGAACTCATAGCGGAAGATAGTCAAGGGAGCTAGTGCTATTTCCACATTACAACAGAATATCAAATAACAGCCAATCACAGCGTGCACGAAGAACATGGTGACCGCATGCGTTGTACGTCCTTGTGATCCGGTCCAGGTGGTTGAGCTCCTGTTGCCTGGTCAGTGTCACGTTCCCAACAATTCCAGCCAAAGGGATACAGTACACATCTGGCCCTGACAGGTCACACCATCTTCTAGACTCAGTTGATGACAGTATGGAGCAACAATTATAGTTAAAAAAGGCGAGCCTAGGCGGGCGCTTAAGTGCGTGCAGGGCTACAAGCTCTAGTAGATAGCCACACGCCTAGCACTTAATCTGTGCATCCTCGTGCACTTTGGTGAGAAAAGCGCAAGGCAGTGGCAAAACGCACAATTAAGGCCTAGTGCTTTTTTAAACTAATGTTCTTATTCTGGAAAGCTTGCCACTGAAATGATGTTGTGTGTAGCAAGGGTAATACACGGATTGCTGAATCGGTGCAATTTCTAGAAAGCTATGTTCATTCTGTATGTGGTACAAGCAAGCCAAATGCATGATCTGAAGGGTAAAGGGAACTTTGGCATGATGGCTATTGAGGAGCCTAACCTAAGTTAGGGCACTTCTGATACACATTTGATCTTGGAACCTCCACAAGTTGGCCAGGTCAAAAATGAATGTGGATGCCAGTTTGATCTAACAATTTGCGACATGCTGTGCTGTCAGCCTGAGGTATATTCCTAATGTGCAAGCATTCTGGAAACTGAGATGGGATTTTAGCTAACGGCTCAATGGATCAACCAGCCAGCTATTGTTGAAACTGATTGCCTTGCACTATCTCAAGCTATAAATGGTTCCGACCCAGACAGATCTTTAGCACATGGTATTCTGAAGGGCATCCCTCCTTTCAACCTTTTATGAAGGGGATTGATGCGCAGATCCTATAAAGGAGCTGACATATTCAGCAGATGCAGTCCCAGATTGTTCACTCCTGGTGCTTTCAAGTCAAACCTGCAGCCTCAATCACCAAATGCTGATCAATTTAAGGCAATCGCTACTCAGAATTTGAGATCCTATAACTTTTGGGCGTTGCAGATGTACTTCAAGGAAAACCTAATTGCCAAACATTTCCCCACCCCCAAGTACAGCGAGCAACTAGTCAATGCCAACAAAACGAACAAACCATGCTGCTGAAGCTTTCTAAATTGTCATACCCAAAGACACTTTGCTAATTAATAGCTGCTGAGGATGGGTACCGGGCATGAGAGAGAGAGAGAGAGAGGGCACAAATCGGAGCGTTTGGGGGAGGGGGCGGGGGGTGCTACCAGAAGGCGGTGTAGTTGGCGAAGCCGATCGCGGAGGACATGACGCAGACGGACGCGGCGGCGAAGAGGAACTGGCCCAGCCGCAGCGAGAGGCCGCTCCACGTGCCGGGGCTCCCGGACAGCTCCATCGCGCCGCCGGCCTGGCCCCCGAGCGCAGCCGCCCGCTCCCTCAGACGCCGGGCCGGCGATCGGCGGCCATGCGGGCGGGCGGGCGGGCTAGAGGGGGGGCGGGTCTGAGGGTCTCGGTCGGCGGGCCGGCGTGCGGCGAGGAGCGGCGGAAAGGTGATGCTCGCTCGGCGGAGTCGGGGGTTTTCGATTATTTTTTTGCTCAAAGTGGAGAGAGAAGGGGAGGATGGGAGGGGGGCCGAGGGGGAAGAGAGAAGAGCAGACTTTTTGCGACGGGGTTTGGACTTTTTGGAGAGGTGTGGCGCGACCCGGGGGCGACGGAAGTTGGTCCGTTACAGTTGTTGGCACGGGGCGTTTTGGTCAAGCGGTGCGGCGGGGATTACGGGGTCGGCTGAGCGGCGCCGGCCCGGCCGGACGCGGTTGCTTGCGTCGATGGCTTTATCGCATCACCGAAAACGCTTGCCGATAATACGACCTTTTCTCCCTTTTTTTTTGTGCGACGACGAAACGGGCTTCATATGTCTTTTTCTCTTTGTGCCTGTCCACGATGCACGCAAGAACCGCTTTACCTAACCCTGAAAGCTCCCTGCGAGATTAACAAAATCAGATCTATTAGCCACATATTCCCTTGATCAGCTAACCCGGCCCAAACATAACTGCCTGTTTCACTTAGGGCATGTAATATCGGGGCAGCACCATGTTGCTGCCCCATCTCCCTGGTAGGTTGAGACCACTATATAAATTTTCTCTCCCTAAAGCAGGCAAAACTAGATAGGACCACACTTTCGTCTTTTTTTATTCTCTTTCTTACTTTTTCATCTACACATCACCCGCAAAAAAAAATCTATACATGCATCATCTCTCTC